GTATGGTACACTATTACCCTGTAATATAACATGTGGTCTAATTTAAATATTATGGGTCAATATTATGGTCCGAAATCGGGCTTTACGTTAACATTGAAAAGTGACTTCGCGCTTCCGATCTTTAAAGGGTTTTAGAAGGCGAATTTCCTCGATTTAGCAATAGTGAATTAAGTCAATTTTTAGGTCAGATATCGTGCCGGTTGTTAGAATTGAAAAGTGTCTTCGAATTTCCTTGTTTTAATGCACTATTTAACATATACATAGTGTACCCCCTAAATCACCTATAATTATTTCCTGTGGTAGGGTACACTATTACCCTGTATTATAATACCTGGACCAATTAAAATATTATAGGTCATTATTAAGGTCCGATACCGCGCCGTTAGTTCACATTGAAAAGTGTCTTCGAATTTCCTTGTTTTAATGCACTATTTAAAATATACATAGTGTACCCCCTNTGGTAGGGTACACTATTATCCTGTAATATAATATGCGGTCCAACTTAAATATTATAGGTCAAAATGAATTCCCGAAATCGGGCTAACAGTGAAGAGGGACTTCGCGCTTTCTATCTTTAAAGGGTTTCTGAAGGCGAATTTCCTCATTTTAAGCTCTTCCGAACACTTATTTTAGATACGCACTCATAGTAAAATACAGGAACTCATTGTGTTCCCCCTAATTGACCTATAATTATTTCCCGTGGTAGGTACACTATTCGCCTGGAATATAATACCTGGTCAAACTAAAATATTATGATCAATATTAAGGTCTGATTTCGCGCCTTGCGTTAGTTAACCATTGAAAGATGTCTTTGAATTTTTAAAGCATTTTAGAACGCTTATTTCTTCATTTTATGCTTCTCATAACACTTTATTTCGCATAGGCATTTATAGTAAACTTTAGGATCACGCTGTGTACTCCCTTATTGACCTATAATTAATTCTTGTGGTAGGGTACACTATTACCCTGTAATATAATACCTGGTTCAACTAAAATATTATAGGTCAATATTAAGGTCCGATACAGTTCCGTTAGTTAACATTGAAAAGTGTCTTCGAATTTCCTTGTTTTAATGCACTATTTAAAATGTACTTAGTGTACCCCCTAATTCAATTATAATTATTTCCTGTGGTATGGTACAGTATTACCCTGTAGTATAATATGTGGTCTAATTTAAATATTATGGGTCAATATTATGGTCCGAAATCGGGCTTTACGTTAACATTGAAAAGTGTCTTCGCGCTTCCTATCTTTAAAGGGTTTTAGAAGGCGAATTTCCTCTTTTAGAGCAATAGTGAATTAAGTCAATTTTTAGGTCAGATATCGTGCCGTTTGTAAGCATTGCTCTTCCGAACACTTATTTTAGATGCGCGCACAAAGTAAGATACAGGAACTCATTGTGAACCCCCTAATTGACCTATAATTATTTCCCGTGGTAGGGCACACTATTACCCTGTAATATAATACATGGTTCAATTTAAATATTATGGGTCATTTTTAAGGTTCTGATATCGCGCCCTCCGTTAGTAAACCATTGAAAGATGTCCTTGAATTTTTAAAGCATTTTAGAAGGCTTATTTCTTCATTTTAAGCTTCTCAGAGCACTTTATTTCCCTTAGGCTTACGTAGTTAACTTTAGGGTCACCCTGTGTACCCCCTAATTGACCTATAATTATTTCCCGTGGTAGGGTACACTATTACCCTGTAATATAATACGTATTCCAATTTAAAAATTATAGGTCAATATTAAGGTCCGATACCGTGCCGTTAGTTAACATAGAAAAGTGTCTTCGAATTTCCTTGTTTTAATGCACTATTTAAAATATACATAGTGTATCCCCTATATCATCTATAATTATTTCCTGTGGTAGGGTACACTATTACCGTGTAGTATAATATGTGGTCCAATTTAAATATTATGGGTCAATAGTAAGGTCCGAAATCGGGCTTTACGTTAACATTAAAAAGTGACTTCGCGCTTCCTATATTTAATATTTTAGAAAAAATAT